GACTCTCAATCAGTTCACAATAAAAACGCTCATATCCATGTCGATACTCGAACTCGAGATCTCTAGAAACAATAACAAATTCTTATCTACTGAGATAACTTGATTCGGGCACTAATTGAACTCTTAAATGATAATACGAATACATACCAATCAAATAGTTACGAATGTCTTAACATAAATTCATCTTTGTTGTTATCAATATGAAGATCCCATAACTAAAGTAGAGGGGCCAAAAATGCACCAAAACTCAATGTTTTCTTTTTCTTTTTCCCCGCACAATTTTCATATATGTAAACTTGACATCATAATCACTTATTTCCACCACTATAAATATGGACGTCCCAAGGCTGGCTTCCATAGCTGGTCTCGACTGAGCATTGAAATCAGCCTCACTTCATCATCTACTCTTTCTTTTTAGAGAGAGAAAGAGTTTGAGAGAGAGAGAAGAGAAGGAGAATATTAGTGTGTGTATATATATAAAGATGGTTCTCCACCTTTCCTGGGTTTTCATTTTTGGCATTCTCGGTATTCTAATATCTCCATCTTCCCTTCTTCTTCATTTGATGCATGATAATCTCGGGGTTTATCAGGGATGAACCGAAAGGGAGCGGGTGCGCGTAGTGGCATCCGTTCCCTAAAAATTTCAAATTATCACGTATTTTAAGATATTTTCTAGGGTAAACTACATATTTAGTACTTAAATTATTATTTTTGTTTTGTTTTGGTACTCAAATTTTATTTTTTTCGGAATCATATCTAACGTTTAGTATAAGGTTTATTTTGGTACTCTTTTTTAACGGTTATATTAATGTGTCACCATAAGATAATGTCGCGTCATAATTGAAGAGAAACAAAAAAAATCACGTCAATAATTCTATTAATTTTTTTAACAATGAGATACTGAAATAAACTTAAACTAAACGTTAGATAACTGACGTAAAATCTCGGGTTCGTGTCTGATTTTATTGTATGATTAACCCCCTTTGCTTTCTTGTTTCCAGGGAACGTTGTTTCATTCATGGTTTCCCTTGCTCCACTGTGAGTTCTACTTCTTCTTCTTGTTAAGAAATGGATTTCTTTCCGCATTTGAGATTCTGGGTTATTAATGGAGATGGTGATGAATTGATTGCAGGCCGACGTTTTATCAAATATATAAGAAGAAAACATCCGAAGGGTTCCAATCGCTTCCCTACGTGGTTTCGCTCTTCAGTGCGATGCTTTGGATTTACTACGCACTGCTCAAGAAGGACGCGATGCTGCTGATTACCATCAACACTTTCTGCTGTTTCATTCAGACTTTTTACATCGTCACTTACTTCTACTATGGTCCCAAGAAGGAGAAGGTAAAGTTTACACATGAGAAACCCTAATTTATACATCTTCCATGAAGTTCATCGATGTTATTCTAATTCAATACCCAAAATGATGGAATTTCCAGCTTGTCACTTTGAAATTGATCCTCGTGTTCAATGTTCTCGGGTTCGGAGTTATCTTCTTCTCCACTTATTTCCTTCGAGACCTGAAGATCCGACTCGAAGTCCTCGGATACATCTGCATGGCGTTCGCTTTGAGTGTGTTCGCCGCACCACTTGCCATATTGGTGAGTGTTGTTCATGATTTGCAGATTTTATCTTATCGTCGGGATTCGTTTCGTAAATGAAGGTTTCGATTCTTTTTTTGTAGAGGAAAGTCATTAAAACGAAGAGCGTGGAGTTCATGCCATTTTCTTTATCTTTGTTCCTTACGTTAGGAGCAGTGATGTGGTTCTTCTATGGCCTTTTGTTGAAGGATATGAACATCGCCGTACGTTATCTCATTCATGCAATAAATTTTTTTGGTTAAATTACTAGACAAGCCCTTATACCATATCAATTATCATCTCTCTTTTGGTGGGTGAAATCAGGTCCCAAACGTGCTAGGGTTTATCTTTGGGATTCTTCAAATGATACTCTATGCAATCTACAAGAATCACCCGAAGAAGATGGTGGAAGATCCGAAGCTTCAGTTATCCGATCAGCATATAGTCGATGTGGCGAAACTCAGGTCGGTGGTGTGCTTGGATCTAAACGCAGTGGCTCCTCAACCGAACGACGGCGACGGTGACGGAGGAAGAGACGTTGAAGCTCATAATACAAAGGAGACCCCTAGAGATGCTTCCAATAAAGTTTAGAAGTTGATGGAAGAAGTTCAATCAAATTTACGTGTAGCTTCGGTTTGCATGGATAATGCAAAATTAATGTCGTGTAATTTATGCCCCCTCGGTATAATCTTGTTCTCTCCATCTCTCTCTTAACTATCTATCAATAATCAGTATAGTGTATTTAACTTTTACTGATACAATAATAAATTATATATTTCATGATTATCATGATGATCATGTTGATTAAGGATTAAATAAATTTTAAAACAGTATTACATGGTAATATATACATATTAAACATAAACTAGCTATTCCCATCATCATAGAGCCAGTCCAATTATATGCATTAAAGAAACTTTCCTTAGCTCATTGAAAGTTCTTTAAACATAGAAAGTAAGTCTATATATAAATCGAGTCTCGCTATATATACATATAATTTATTCATTGAGTGGCTCTATTGGATACATGAACGTTGTTCTTCTTAGAGGTCTTGAGCTTGAGCAGTTATATCTGTTGAATTGGTTAAGAAATATTCTGAACATATATCACATTATAATCGCTCTAGACTATATAAAAAATATTATATGAACCTATTGCATGGCTTCAATAAAGAAAATATAATTCTCCTTAGACGACCCGGATTAGAGCTTATGCCTGCAGTGTGTGTTGTCAAAGACCAAAAAATTATGAACATATGATAATGGTCATAAATCAAGAAATTTTGAAAATATAATACCTTATAATCACATGATACTATTTGAAAAATTATTTTTATATGTGATTTTTGTTTTGATATATTATAATTATTAATTCCATTGTAATTATATAATAATTATTGTGATATTTATTTGGATGTATATTATTTATATTTACAATTATGACCGAAAATATACATGCATCTATAATATTTTATTACCATCCTTTTTCCCTTATAAAATCATATTATCACAGTCTTAAAACAGAAAAGCTTATAAAAATAAATTAGTTTAATTACATTAGTCAATCATTTCTCTTAAAATCATTAAAATAATACAAATCATACATTAAAAAACTTAACGGTAATGTTGACATACCATTATAAGATAATGTCACGTCATCATTGAAAAAATAAAAAATGCATCGATCAGCAGTTCTGTTAATTCTTTAACGACATAATACCAAATTAAAACCTAAACTAAAATTCATATATAATTTTTTAAAAAAAAATTGGATACCAAAACGGATTAGTTTACATACTAAACATGTAATTTAGCTAAAAATGAAACAGATATAATGATGGCATCGTGTTGACAATTAGTTTTATCAAAACTCAAGCACGACATATTTAAGAAGATTGTAAACGTCTATCGATGTAAGAGAATCAGTCTAAGGGTCTGAATCAATAATAGATCGATAAGATAATCAAATAAACGACAAGTAAAGAGCTAACGTCAGATTCAATCATGATAGACGAGCTAAAAACCCTAATTAAAACTGTGTTGATTGGGGATTTTTCCATAACAGGTAAGTGCTTCCGGTTCAAGTCATGTTGTTTAACTGTTAAAAAGAACGAGAAGCAATCTGGAAAAGAGAATAGAGCCAAATGGCATAACCTTGAGAAGCTAGCAGCAGCACCTAATTATGTATACTGAAAAACAATGGACACGCCGTCGTTTTCAGTTTAACACTTCTGGTATTGGCTCTTCCATATATTGAATGAATAAATTACCTAAACTAGTTTTCATAATACGGTTAAATTATGTGTTTAGTACCTAAATAATCAGTTTTGATCCGTTTTAGTACTTAAACTTTTAATTTTTTTCAAACTCATACCTAAAATTTAGTTTTTGTTTCATTTTAGTACTCCCATTTAAAATTAACGTTAAATTTTGATTTTTTTTTTTGAAAGTTTAGGTACTAAAATAGACCAAAACTGATAGTTAGGTACTAAATACATTATTTTTTAATGGTGGAGTACTAAAATGAAACAAAAACTAACTTTAGGTATGATTTTGAAAAAAAAAATGAAAGTTTAGATACTAAAACAGAATAAAACTAATAGTTCATATACTAAACATGTAGTTTACCCTTATAATTATTGTTTACTTTATTATATTATATGTTGTTTTGTTTCCTAATGGTGCTTTTAGGGCACACACAAGAGATAATTGTTTCATGCCAAAATCACCACTTCCCAGCATGTATAATTTTACTTTTGTTTTTATATATATATATACCCGAACCAAACGATCTCGATGGTAAAATAAATTATTGTTATTTCTTAAGATCTTAGGTTCGAGCATTGCCAAAAGTATATGCGTTCAATGTTAAATTATTGAGAGTTATCTTTGAACATATATTAATTTATATTTATTTCAAATTAATCATATATATATATATATATATATATATATTATAATTAAATGTTTGTTGTTAATACTTATATAATTAATCAATAAATTGAAAATTTTATTTTTGACATTGACAATCATATATATATATATATATATATATATATATATATAAAATTAGTTGACCCTATTACCATATGTAATGGGGTAAAGGGAGTATATATATATATATATAATTAGCTGACCCTATTCCCATATGTAATGGGGTAAGAGGAGGTAGGATAGTAGGCTGCCCCAACGCCAGGTTGAGAGCAGTTTTCGTGGGAGACCTCTGGCAATCAGAATTATGAATTGTCCACCGTGGGACTCGATCCCACGACCACAAGATTAAGAGCCTTGTGCTCTTACCAACTAAGATATTATAATAATTAAACGTTTGTTGTTAATACTTGTGTATGTAAAAAATCTTCATTAGAAGATTCACCCACTAAAATCAGATATATGATTCGGGTAGTGGAAGCTAATAATATCTATCTATTGCATGGTAGTGGAGGGTGCAGTACGCACGTAATACATTTCTTTGTGAATAATATATTATCTTTTATCACTTTAACATATATATTCTTTAATCACTTTAATTTATCAAATCTGATCTGAACGATCCAAGTAGTAAAAGAGTTGTGATAATTGAGATGACGTCAAATGAAATGGCAGGCAGGCTACATCCCATCCTTTAAAGCTCCTTTTGGTACAAGATCCGATTAGGAAAGTTAATTTAATTCGAAATGATGATGATCTGATTTAGATTTTTTTAAAAAGAAAATCTAAGTTCAAATTAGAGTTATATCAGATTTTTTTTAGTAAAGTCGGGTCGAGTGGAGAGTGAAAAATTTTAATTCTATTCGGGATAATAATGTATTTTCCTTAAAAAATTTATGTTATACTGACTCATGTCGAGTATGATTTATATTCTAAAAATTCAGGTCGAGTCTGAATTTAATGGAGGATATATATTTTTTGAGTCCGGTCAAATCGGGTAGATGATATATAACTTTTAGATCAGGTCATATTCGAGTAAAAGATACATATTTTCATATCGATTCGAGTTGACCTAGAACCCGACCCAACCTGACCCGTAGTCATCCCTAAATACAATATTCATGGCCACTACTCCCATCTTAAGCCCATATTTTTATCGCTATAATTTTTTAAGATTCTGGTTTCGAGTAGGTTTAAAATTTTATTTTATTTTAATTTTGAGTTTGAATAAAATCCGATCCTATCATATCAAATCGGGTCAAAATCCGTCGGTTTCGGGTTGAATTGTTATCTCTAAGTATATGTTCAAAATTTTATTTCTCAATAGCCAACAAACATACGTTGTTGACATAACTACTCGAAACCAAAACTTCGAGAGAGAAAAACCAACATTCCATTTTACTACTAAAATCACTCGATGAGTTATAGTCGAGTCATGTTCATATTCATGACAGCTGCATCATAGTCGCATCGTTCCGTGCCTGAAATTACGAAGAGTTGGAAGAAGATTTCGGACAAGCAAGTGAAACATGCGTCATGGCTTTAGCTAATTTTTTTGTTTTGTTTTTATTTCTGTCCTTTTTGCAAAGTTTAGACGATAAGGTGACCCCAAAAACCATAAGCAAAACAACTGCAATAAAGGCTCGTCTTTTTTCATGTTTTCTTTTCTTTCTACCTTAAAGTGAACCTCTCCATTTCATGACCTAGTTGCAGTGCATTTGTAAGGAAAGTCCATTCCTTTGTTCATCTTGTGTCATTTTCACCTTATTTCTTTTGTTTTCCCCCCCTTTATATCTCATCCATGGCTGTCCACATTGTTCTCTATGACATAAGGGCAGGGCCGTGGCAGGGTTTTCGGGGGTCATGTACAAATTCGTATAAAGGGGCCCCTATTTTTTAGATATATTCGATTTCGGGGTAACAATAGTGGCGTTTTCTTGACAAACGCCGTAATAAATCCATCTATAATGGCGTTTTATCAATAAAGCCGCAATAATAGTGGCGTTTTTTTTGAAAAAACGTCGCAATAGATCCATCTATAGTGGCGTTTATCGGTAAAACGCCACTATATATATATTTTTTTTGGGCCCCATTTTTTGGGGGGCCCTGCGCGGTCGCGCAGTTTGCGTCGCCCCAGCCACGGCCCTGCATAAGGGCAATGCCAATGATATATATATATATTCTTTTGTCTTTCTATCGATTCAATCATCAAAACGTGCATATAATTGAAGGATTTTAGCACGAACCAACTTACTTGGGTGGTTAAAGAAATCGTTGTTGTTCCTAATGGTCACGAGTTCGAGCACCAGCGATTCCAGCAGAGTGATTGAGCATTCATTGTAAAATGGTTGAGAGAGTATTTAAAACAGATGTTATTTTGCAATCATCTTAACTTAATCAAAAGATTTGAGGATTATATGTTCATCTCAAACTTCAAATAGTTTTATTAAAATCTTTAAAGTATTAGTATCGTATTTGTCGTGTCCTTTTCTAATTATATGTTTATATGCTACATTTTGGAGAGGTGAGTCGGATAGGCAGAATGAACAATTGTGACGAGGATGTCACGAGATCGAGTAAGAGAGAATTTCATGGCTTGAAAAGGAAAAGAAAAGTCATGGAGTTTAAAAGCGTTATCAGACACGTCTTCTGGAGAGAGGGACCGAAAACAGCCCCGTGACAAATTTTTTGATTTAATATCATTCTATGTCTTTATTTGTTTGAACTTAAGTAAAATTAGACTTTTGTCTCCTCCAATTTTTCAGATTAAATATCTA